TCTTTACAGTCCTCAAACATTTTTATTTTATTATTAATTCAATTGTTATAAACATTTAAATCAATAATAATAATTAATTTGATAGATTTTACACAGCATCAAGGACATGAACAATGAACACCAATCGCATATATAATAATAAAAGGGACAAAATAAAATGGCATAAGAACTAGACTAAAATAAGGTGTGCAAACTAGGTTTCTCTTGACTGCTAAGTTTACTGTGCTCCGTCCATAACTGCGGAGTCAAAAGTTCACATTGTAGTCACCCATGGACAGAAATAGAAACGACCGTGGGAGAAGTGTCTCTGTAATACACATACTGATCTATCATTCCAAAACTTTCCATGACATAAAATTGACACTTGGCGATGAGGGCACGCTACCTTTAAATATCCGCCAGTCCGGTTGAGTTGGAGGAAGTGTGTGTGTGGGGGGGGGGGGGGGTGAGGTGTGTATCTATTTCTATCATTCAGGTTGTGCACCTGGGCAACAGAAGACTGTTCTAATGTTAATTTACTTGAGGGCTGATCGAGTAATGTTTGGCTTGAGACTGTCTAAATGAAAATGAATACTTTATTTATTGCTTTCCTGTACATTTTTTTTCCAGTTAAGTGAGAGTTACCAGTCTATGTCTAAGCTTTGCTTGAAATATTTCTTTTAACTCGACGTCCGTGTATTTTGTGAAAAAATATCTGAATTTTTTTTTTCCAAATTGCCATACAGTCGATCTATAAATAGCCATTGCTACTGGTCTGTATTCGTCTTCCGTTCTTTGTCTAGTGTTGTTAACTAAATTAAGTGTGATTGCTTTATTTGTTATGGCTGTTTGATTGGTGGTGTTTAATATTTTCGCAAGTGTTTGCTTTGTTTTCTGTACTAATATACAATCTAAATAAATGTGTTTCTCAGTTTCTTGTATATTTTGTTTACACGTTTGACATGTTAGTTTAACATTTTGATTTGACTATGTATTTCGTGAAACTTGAGTTGTATTAAAAAACAGTCTGTATGCTAATTCCCTTTCTTTTGGTGTATTGTGTTTATTATGTAGGTTTCTAAATATATCTTTAATGTCTATTATATTGTGTTCCCTGGCCCAACTAATGCTCATGTATAAGGGTGTCGCTTGTTGTTTGATTAGGACAGGGGTCGGCAACCTTTTGAGACCGAAGAGCCAAAATTTACAATTTACAAAATTTCGCAGTTTTTAAAGAGCCGCCAACATTTTTGTTTCAATAGTATGATCTTTAATTAGGATTTTATATATATATATATATATATATATATATATATATATATATATATATATATATATATATATAAATATTTATATTTATATTTATATTTATATTTATATATATATATATATTTATATTTATATATATATATATATATATATATATATATATATATATATATATATATATAGATATATGTATGTGTGTTTGTGTGTGTGTGCTTGTGTTTGTATGTGTGTGTGTCTGTTTTTCTTTTATGCATTACCACACCTTTCATCCGATCGCCATGAAACTTTGGGAAGTTTTGAGAATACTCATGGTAAAGTTTTTCGAATTCGCAGGAGCGGCGCCCCGGTAGCTCGCGATTCAATTCTTCTCTTTGTACTGTATATAAAAATAAAAGTCGATTGCGGTTCGACACCGTTCATCCGTTCGTCATGAAACTTTAAAGAGTTAATTAACACACTTCAGGGAGGATTGTATACAAAAATCATTTTTAATTTTTTTATGAGCGGCGCCCTGGTGGTGCATTTTTTGTCAATACACCTTTTGGCGTTCTGAGTTCCAGAGCGGCTATGTTATTACTTGGCATCCGTTAATCGGACGTCCTGCATAGCGGGTAAGTGGTACTACTATATTCAGCGGCAAAACTGCAACAGGCGCAACCACCGGTGCCTCGACTATTACACGACCCAAAGCACCCTGGGCTCGCCTGCGGACACTATGGCGCATACGTTCAATTTTAAAAATAGGCTGTACACTATAGACACGATGGGCAACAATACGTTCATTTTAAACAGCGCTATAGGTTATGGATACAATGGGTTGCTTTAGTCGCTAACTAAATCGAATCATGTTTCTCTCCAGGGTGCGATTTGGCGCCCAGGTCTATCCCGCGAGCACTAAACGCCTATCTTGGTTTTAAGGAGCACCCTACAATACGACATTCGATGATTAAGCCGAGCTAAGGGCCGTACGCGGTATCCCTGTGGTAGTGTTATCTGGTTCACGAGAGCGCCACTTTCCGTCCTCGATAGTTAGGCGATGAGTTAGTAATGGAGATATTACGGTGAGTGATTAACTTACACTCAATGCTTTCATACAGCACGCCATGGTGGTAGGCGGTAGTGTAGGTAAGCCCGTGCACCGATAAATATGATCCAAACACGGGCATTGTGTACTTTTATATAAATCAGCTTTAGAAAACAAGGAAGTACTTTAAAATAGGGAGTGACTAAATATTGTAATATAATAGCGAGTGTTTATTGTTTATATGTATTATTATATCGTTCATTACCGAGTGTTACACACTAATAAATTAATAATAAAATAATTTTTAAAATTGTGCATCGAGCTGAAGAGCCGCATCTTGACATCAAATGAGCCGCATGCGGCTCGCGAGCCGCAGGTTGCCGACCCCTGGATTAGGATGTCGTTTATTTTTTTTTTATCTTCCCCAATTTAAAGATTTCATGCATAAAGTAAAGAAACTTAGTGAAATTAATACAAAATACGTAATTCATTTTATTAATGCAAAGTTATCTTACATAATTATGGGTTTGGCAATTTAATTAAAAATAATTTTTCTCTTTATTACAATATACTTTTAAACGCAAACAAATGTGTACATAAACTTTACTGATACTAATAAAAATGTAAACATAAACAACAAAGATTTAAATAAGTTTTATATTTAAACTGGGATATTGTTTTATTTATTAATTTACTAACATAGTTTAAAGTTGTTTCCCTTTTTTAAACTTTAATATGGGAAGTAACAAAAAGAAACCAATATAATACCGATCTATCAAGTCGCAACATTGCTGTGTTGTATAGAAGAATTAAAAGTTATGTTTACGAGAAAAGGGCGGAGCATTGTAAGAAAGGTTAATTTATTTTACAGTATTGAAGGTAGACCTACTTTCCTAAAAATAAAGAAGCTACATATTTGAAACTATGTGAGTTTTCCAACTTGATAAAAAATAGTAACCATACTAATTAAATGTACAAAATGTAAAAAAAAAAATCTTTATCTTAATAATTATGCAGATGATATATCACAGTATAATCGCAATATAATCATGTGTATAAAACAACGCCGATAAAAACAGAAGATTAGCGTTTCATCTCTTACATTGTGCTGTAAAAATCCTAACTTATAATTAGGTCACAAACTATTTTCCTGTTCGAAAGCCTTGTGTTAACATTATAATTATCATATAGTCCCAAGGACAAATAAAACATTCATCTATACAGGCTATACACTAAGTACATAACATAAATCAAACACTAACTACAAGGTAAACCAAATGTGTCTCTAGTTTAACCGTTTAACCCTAACATCAAAAATAAAACACGAATCCTAACATTTAACCTTCTCACATAAATATTATTACTGACCATTTCTTTAACACCAAATTTAAAGAACAAATTTCAACCAAGCGCTAGAACCAAAAATACCACTAAGCCTAGAATTAACTTGACTCTTATCTCTGTTCTGTACGCCTCTCTAACATAAGTGTTTTTTTTTTTTTTTTTTTTTATTTTTTTTTTTATTTTTTTTTTAAGTGGGTGTGTGTATATATTTTTAATACAAAAAACTACTTTACACCTTGTATTTGTGCCAGCGTTGATGTTCAACCCTGGTTACATTTGGTGGGGATTCAATGTTTTTTTCTGATATCGAAAGGGTGTACATGATATGAAGGACGACTGCAGAGAGACATGGTAAAACATGAAGAAAAACATTTACTTTCATATTTAGTATATCGTGAGTTTAGTAGATAGTGAATTTAGTATATAGTAAATGTAGTATATCGTAACTTTAGTATATTGTTAATTTAATATATCATGAGTTTATTATATTATGAATTTAGTTTATCGCCCATAAAGGTAAGTAAACAATGACAGATATGATTATATACATAAAAATATTTAATGAAAGAAGAGTGACTTTACAAATATCTAGTGCAGGAAAATAAAAAAAATCCAACGATATGACATAACATACACTAGAAAGACAGACAGATTAGGGGAAGCAAGTTAAGTAAAAGCTTGTAAAAACAATAAGGCAATAGAAGTACTAACTCACGACAACGCTATAATATATATACAACATGTATTGTTGGATGAGTAAAAAGTTCGATTTTATTTTCATTTTCAGTAATCACAGAGATGTGTCTATCTGTTAAGTATGCGGTCAGTTTGAAATGTGCTTGTGTCTAGCAATTAGTTGTATGGTTGGGTTGGCGCGGTCCGTGTACGTAATTTGGTAAACTAAATGATCCGGTTTTAATACATTGACACAATCTTTTAAAACCTTTTTTTGTGTCTCAGGCATGTAATTTACAGCGTCAGTTTACCTTGCCATGTTGTGTTTAGTATTACGTTTTTCATCATCGGCTTGTGACGACTGATGTAGATTTAAAATAGTAATACTTTTTTTCTGACAAGTACTTTCATTCATTTAAGATGGTTTACTTATACTTAATACAAAGCGTCTAATTACACTTTTCTTTTTCACTGAAAATGCATACTTGTGATTAATATGTGATTTAACAATTTGTTGTTAAAAAAGAATAAACTATGATTTTCTATACTCCGAAATTTATTTCAACTCCACTTTAAGGCCATACCTCATCACCACAACCACCCAAACCAAATACAAAATTTAACGACATATCCTTTAATATTATTAATCCTGTAAAAACAAATGTCTTTTTTTTTGTTTTTTTTTTTTGTGTATCAAAATACGTTTATTTCAGCGACACAAATTTAGAGATGTACTAAGTTTAGTTATGTCCTGTTTTTTTCTTTCGTTTTTTTGATAGTTTTTCGTTTTCTTCTTCCCATCAACAGTTGTATCAAGTTCAGACCCAACACTTGTATCCACCTCATTAACTACACTCTCATCATTCTCTTCCTTGCTCTTCTTCTTTTTCTTCTTCTTCACTGGCTCATATTCCCCATTTTCTTCTACCTCTTTTGCTTGTTTTTTCTCTTTTCTTTCTTGTTTTCTATGCGCTTTTAAGACTTTCTGTTTTGCTTCTTCAGCTTCACTAACAGCTATCTTCATGACATCTATATTGTTGGCAGGATTTTCTCCAGTTTCATAGAACTTAAGCCTGTCATCAACTTGCTGCTTTAAACGCTGACCAATCTCTGAGGTTGGGATGTCTGAAAAATTGTCAACCCTAGATGCTATGGTACACTTATTTGCTAGGTATCTGGAAATACGTCTTTTATTTTTTGCACCTGCGCGTCCAATAAAGGTTGAATGAAAGATGAGGCCATACTTTGGATATTGCCTCTAGTCTTAGGTGCTCTGAAAAGAGCTTTCTCGGCACTAAGAACTGGAACAGTCGAGGCTGGGTATTTGGCCAAGTTCGTTAAGCTGCCAGCATGAGAGGTCTTTCTTGTTCCTTAAAAAAATTATTCTAACTATCGACTAATCAGCCAAGCATAGTAATTAAAATTAGATTTTTTTTTGTTATGAATAAAGAGTCATTTAAAACAGAAAAAAGTTTTGTATTTTAATTAGAAATAACTTGTTTTTATTTTATGATAAAAAACTATAAGTACGAGAAAACGAGTTACATTTGTGAAATTAATTCGAACAATAACAATAAACCAATGAACAATGATTTACAAAATTATGTTACTACAACTTGGGTATCGGTTTTATATACGTACATGCATGTACATTCTAATATTATAACAACTTGACTATAGGAAAGCAAAGTGTGATATTAACACGATAAGAAATATTCACAAGAAATGGGTGGCGCATGTAAAGAACATTTATTTGTTTCAAATAATTGATGTAATACTCTAATTGGTAGGTTTTTTTTTTGTTTATTTTTTTATAACTTTAACAATACACTGAAGTTTCTAACTGTTGATTTGACTCTTCAAATAGTGTAGGTGAGCTAATTGCATGTTAAAATAGCTACATTTTCTTAATCTTGAAGCGATTCAGTTAATGATCGTTAGCTTTTATTTTTATTTTGGTACGAAAAGTTTGGCACTGTTGTGTTAAAATCATAATATAATATTGCATGTTTTCCAGGTAGGCTACAAACAGAGGTTTGTGCTGTACAAAGATTTAACAGCATTTATGAAAAATGAAAAGTATCATACACAGTATAAAAACTTACTCTTACGATGTGTGTGCATGTGCGCATATGTGTATGTGCGCGTGTGCACGTTTGCACTTTACTTTGGTAAAGTAGGCTTTGCTGAAATATGTCGCAATTACCCTATTCTCTTTCATGTAGGCCAATATCTTTTTACGCGACGTATAGTAGCTGTAGCTGTAGAGTATCATCTTTAAAAGTTTGATAAAATTCGTTAGTTAGTCCGTCTTTTCTAGAACTTTTGATTAATTTTAAGCCATCGTTTGTATTCCCTAGAGGGTCGCTAATTTTGTCACGCTATTCGTCTTTTAATTTTGTTGTGAATTTTAGATATTTGTCTTGGGTTTTGTTGTTGGTTTCGTCTTTATAAATAGCTAATGGCAGTAATCAGTGAAGCGTGCCTGATTTTTGTCCAAGTCTGCGCCGTTGTCGTGTGTTATGATTTGTATTGGTTTAGAATGGGCGTGTATTTGCTATAATATTATGTTGTGGTGTGAGGGCTCTTCACTTCTTATTGTATATTCTCAACAACCATGTATATGTGACAGGTGAAGAAACTATGTACAATACTACACCACATGTACCATATCCGACAAATATCATACACGCGAGTTATGTGCTTTATGTCATAGAGGATCATATACACAGGATTATTTTATTTACTGAACTAAATATTAATACATCGCCAAAAATATTCTATTTACTGTTTTATCTCATTGTATCAGAATAAAGTAATATTAGGAAAATAAAGTATGGTATAGCATTGTATTGTATTGTATAATTGTTTGAATATTTAGAACATACTGCTGTGTTGAAAATGGAAACATTTAGTAATACATTTTTTTTTCCCATTTTTAAATTGAAAAATTAAGTGAAACAACTTAGAACATTGTTGTTAAAATAATTTACAATAGAAGTACATAAATTTCCAAACAAGAAACTAACAAATGATTGTTGTATTTTTAAATTAATATATCGCAGTTAAAATGAATGTAAAATTTATAAAATGAGTAGTTTAGTATGTTTAATTTAAAAAAAAAAATAATTTTATCTGTTTATTGCAGAACATTAACCAAATAAATAATACTTACTTTTAATAAAGGAAAGATACATTTTAACAATATTAGACTAACGACATAAATGTTTTGCCTTTTTTCTTGGTACCCCAAAAAAAGTATGTTTTATTTAAATACTGCATGGGTACTAAAGAAGTCAAAACATATAGTCTACTTTTATATTAAGTTACACGAACGAGATAGCAGGATTAAGTAGCATGAAGAGTGAAGTTCCCTTTTCAAACCTGACGGTCTATAGGACAAGTGAAGTAGAGTTCACTGGTTTCTGTGACCTCGGCATATGAATAGTTAGTGTGGTCAGCACTATGTCCAGCCGCCTTTACTTTCCCTAACGTGAGTTAGGTACCCATCAGAGTTGGGTCTACTGACTTTAACCCGGATTCGAACTCGATGGGTTAGTAGTCAAGCTCTCTACCGTTATACCCCTCCGTTCCATTAGCATGAAGCACTGGGTCATAAGGATGAACTGCACTTTTATGAATTTACACTAGAACATTGTCCCGAGAATTAAGGAACACATCAACATTGTTCTAAATATAATGTACACACGCTGCGAACTGATTCCAGGACCTCACATAACTGAAATAAGAAACACATGCCATGAAAAAATACCATTGATGTATATTCAACACCAATGGTAAACTTGTGTGGGACAGGTCATATTTCAAATGGTGATTTATGTGACGAGATTAACGATGCTTTTTTTTAGCTTGTTCATAATGTGCAATGTTATTTTTACACGTTAAATAAATGTATGTAAATGTACTCGTAATGTCCATAACAATATTTTACTCACATAAATAAACGATTACAATATTTGAAAAAAAAATGAACATTCCTTTGTAATTTAGATTAAACTGTTTCCGGTAATCAAAAAGATTAAAAAAGAAATATGATGACATGTATTTTCTACTTGCCATAAAAAACATGCCCTAACACCAGTATGAAAACTATAATGACTAGTGTTTACTACGTGCCGTGTCAAACACGCCCTAATATCATTATTGCACGGTGCGTCTTTAACAAGTTAATTTAGTTATATTGATAGCGTTAAAATGTAAGCCATTTTAAGTGAAATGTATTGAGTAATTTTATAATGTACATACAAAAATATACTATTTTAAATGATACATCAGTGCAATTTACTTCTTTAAAAGGTATTTGACAGTTAAATACATTGTTTTAGGACAGGGGTCGGCAACCTTTTGATACGCAAGAGCCAAAAGTTACAATTTACAAACTTTCCCAGTTTTTAAAGAGCCACAACATTTTTAGTTCAATATTCGGTATTTGATTAGGATTAGGTAAATAAAGTTGATTTGTTATTTAAAATAAATAGCTTTAAATATGAAATCATATTTATTCATATAAAAACATAGACATGTTTCGCCAGAATAGTAAAATTAGTAATCAAATAATATTAATTATTCTAGGACAGGACTATCTACATTTATTTTAGAAGCTGTTAATTTTTATTTTATTTTTCTTTACGGATATCACTGGCTCAGGAGGTGTCTCCAATTAGCCAGTCAGGCCTCAACACGGCAAGCGCCGACTAACTGGCTTGGATATAGGTTTGAATAACTTGCATCGTTCGCTTCTATTGTTTGGTTCTCACCAGGCTTATCTTCCATCCCATTGAACGCAGAGTAAAGTCGTACCCCACCGTCCAGTAAAAATGAAATTATATAATATAATTATATTAATATTTGTGCAAGGAGCTAGAGAGCCGCATCTGGACGTCAAAAGAGCCGCATGCGGCACGCGAGCCGCAGGTTGCCGACCCCTGCGTTAGGATAAAGCGTTATAGTTTTTTAGCATTTTACTGTTTTTCGAGTAGTTTTAAATAATGAAATGTATACTATTTATGTGTATTTTAATAACCAATGTAGTGTTGTAAATACATTACATAAAGGGTGTACGTTCTCTATCATACAGCATATGTTTGGCTTATATGTGTTTGTTCTGCCTTGTTTGTTAATTACAGCACAATTTTGACTTTACATCTGATTATATATATATATATATATATACAATGGTTCTTAATTACAACTAATTTTTTATTCTACATCGGGTTTCATTTTTTGTTAATTAAATCTGAATGTAGCTGGTACATCTGGATTCCATGCTTGTTATTCATATTTAAATTTAAACAGAAGCTAGAGATGAAAAATGACTTAGAGATCTCATGCATAGATCAAATACGTAATGTAGAGGTCCGTAGAATAATCACTAATGCCATTGGTCCCTGTGTAGATCCTGCTAAGTATCGTAAAAACAAAACAACTCATGTAGTATGGACATGTACCACGAGCTGTCTATCAAAAACCTTCATGCGGGGCTCTGTGACAGGAGGGAGGATGTGGGGAAGACATTGACGAATTTAGATGGAAGACTTTAAGGAATTGTCTCGGCTGGCCGTACACAATTTTTAACTCATTTTATTTATAAGTCTCAGTGTTGTAGATTTATCTTTTCAGCGTGCCCAGCCATTGTGTGGTGGCAGTAGCTGATTTTTACTACTTTCATCATGCGGCTGATGAAGACTGTTGCAGATTTACATTTTTGAACCATTTCTGAAACTTTCATTCTCAAATGTACGTACTATTTACAGAGTAAAGTGTAGGTTTTATGTGTGTGTATGGGGGGGGGGGGGGGGGTTGTTTCCTTGAATATTAGTGCTTTGCTGATTTTGAAAGAAAAAAGTTATACATTGGATAAGGTTTGGATATAATAATAAAATTGGTGGGCTACGGAAAACTTTATATTAGCGAATTTAACTCCAAAAGTTGTTATGGGCTTCCTAAAATATGGAAGAAGTACAATTAGTTATACATGAATTATACATGAAACTTAATATATTATATACAATAGGTGATCATTAGCATTCACACGTTTCATTTGTACCTATCATCTGCAAACAGTCTTCTTTTTATGTATTTATTTTTTTGTTTATTATTTTATTTACTTTTTTAAATTGTTAACAGAATCAAAATTTTAAAATATATAGCTTCAGAACAAATTATTTAATTAATTAAGTTGGTATGTAAAGAGAGAATCATGAAATCAAAAACGTTGAACGTATTTTACAATATAGTGATAATATTGTAATAACAAGGTAACTGAAAAAGGTATATAACTCCATTTTCCTAACAATCATACTATTAATTTGGTTGTCTTCCCTGTCAATTGTATTTTATTTTAATATTTATCAAAATAATAGATTAAAAGGAGTAATAAACGTGGGGCGCCGTGATTTTCTTACAGTTTCTAGTACTGTTGACTCTCTACAAGCTCCCTAATAAAAGTCAATAGTATTATCTAATCAATAGTAATATCACTTTTACTTCGGCGCCCCACGTTTTTCATCGCTTATAGTAGAGTGATCGCTTGCATTATTGTGATGTATAGCATTTATTTTCTACTTTTTAGTTCAATCAGAAAACGTGGGTTTTTCAAAACTTTTGTAATGACTATTATTGTAAAATTAACCAAAATATTACATAAAAAGGCACATTAATTTTAAAAACATGTTAACCCCAAAAATAAATAGTTTAGTATAGAAAGAAAACCATTGAAATTGATAGCAGTGATTAGAATCCATAATGACTGAAAACAAAGTGGTTAAAATTAATATTTATGGTGTTAGTTAAGTTAAAGTTAAATAAATCCAGCCAAGCTAAACTATATCTAAAATTATAAGAAAACTTTGATTAGGTAAACGTTATTGCAATCCAATTGTTCATTATTAAATTCCCCGTGACAAACGCTGACGTATCTAATAAAGTAAATGGTTTTTTTTTTTAATTTAACTAAAAGAAAAAAGTTTATATTTGTTGAAAAATATTAAACTGTAGAAGTATTTCATGAAAAGTAGCTTTTTAAAAAATAAATATTTTAAACAGATTTTTTTTTTATTATTTGGACTAATGTTTGTATAGCAAATGAAACTAGCGCTATTTACATTACTATTAAGAGCTAAGTTGTGTGACCTCCCCTAGTAATTTAAATTTTAAAAGCAACTAATACACATTTTAAAAGTAGAATATGTAGAAGATCTCATGAGAGATCAAAACTTTTATGAAAGAAAGCAAATTAATATTTTTTTTGGTTTG